AAAAAGGTTGGGGACCACTGATCTAAGGCATGCTAAACTGTTAAGGTGCTAAAATGTGCTTAAAAAGTGTGTATAAAAGGGAGATTTTGACAACTCAGTCCACCAGTTGTGTCATTTATCTCAACAACTAAGAAATTATTTGCTGTAGTGGAAACATCTATGCTGAATCATGCTGAAGAGTGCAAAGCATGATAAACAAAATGCACCTGTATGTGTGAAAAGTCACAACTGTAGCAGCTACATGCTCTAGACATATCATAATGAACCCACTTTATCGAGTGTGGCCTCAAACAAAGTCCATATTAAATTCCTATAATCCAATTATCACATTTTCAGTTGTTGCCCAGAGAAAATACAAATACAAAGTACACTTCAAGGTTCAGTGTTTATTTGTCATATGCACAGTTAGGAAACGCGTTTCCCGGTACAATGAAATTCTTACTTTGCCGTACACATGAATGCCACGTAATACAAGTGAAATATAAAGTAGATGAGCAATAACACACTTAACTCATATTTTTTCTAGATGAATTACTGAATTGTCATAGACCACATGCTGTATTACTGGAAATGTGTTTTAGTAATGAGAGAGAGAGAGCGAGAGAGAGAGGCTTCAGGTTGTCCCCAAACAATAGCCTGCAAGTTATTACACCAGTACACAAATAGATTTGAATATTTTTTCAACCACTTTACTACAAGTGATACGAGACCACATACACGCTGTCCACACATAGCTTTCTACAAATAAATATGAAAAGAACAGCTACCTCCTGCTGATGCCTGACACCAACCTAACCGGATAGAACCTGAACAACAAGATTGGTGCGTAAACACCACATGATAATGACGTATGCTCCATCCTCACTAAATGGCTCAGTAGCCAATGGACACGTGAAACCGCAGTTGTACTCGTTCAGTTGTGAGGCGTTCCGCCAGCAGCGCTCTGGTTTCTACAGCCTACCTGTCGGTGAGTAGCACATTACAAACTTTGTGTCTTCCAGACCGGTGTGTTTTCTCCGAGCGCTGATCCTGCTGTGTGTGACTGTCAACTCACTCACCGCGTTTAGCATTTACCTGTGAGAGATCTCGTTGTGTGCACAGTGTCAGGTGTCACAGGGGAGAGGCTGACTAACCGATCAGTGTAATGCTGTTATACAGGTTGTACAGTAGTTTTGTCATCCTTTGCTACCAATCCCAGTATTGTTCCAAATTCTCAATTGCAAGGATTTGGTGCTTTTATCGGTCACGCATAGCCGAACAAGAAACTGAATACCTTCAGATTTTGGACTTTTTGTGAGACACAGACGACATCTGAACTGCCTGCCTTGGGCTCTGGGAACTTGTCGTGGGCATTTTTAAATTCTTTTCAGACACCACGTGATTAATCAATAATGAAAATGATTAACTCTAGCCCGAAATCCAGTACTACTAAAAAAATCTAAAGTTATTCCACATTTTATTGTCCTCCCTGCAGTTGTGGTTGTAATTTGTGGTTGTTTTTATTGATTTTTTTTTTTTTTTGATGCACTGATGAATCAGTTAGGATAATTCATAAAATGCAAGCAGAGTTTTCCAGAAACCGAAGGCGATGCTTTAAAACAACTTGCAATATGAAACAGGAAAGTAATAAGTCTTCACTATAGATGCTTGATTACATTTTTATTGATCCAGTTTCTGTCAATAATCTACTCCCTTAAGCCAATTACAGTATGATTTTAGGTCAACCTGGAATAATGTGGCATGGTGAATGGAGCAACAGCTTTACTAGTGCTATAATGCAGGATCACTCACGTTTAAAGTGTTTGTTTTGTTAGGTAATTTCTTAGTTAGATAGATATTGATTAGAGATCCAGGATGTCTGGCCCAGGCTGTTGGGTGCTCAGTTCATTGTCATGAGTTCTGCAGACTGCATCTAGGCCAAGGTCGACTAGATTGCAGAGTCTGCAGGCAGGATGAATATTGCTAGTAGCATGATATGCTCAGCCGTAATCTTAATCATAACATTTTCCGAGGCTTACTGTTCGGACATGTCCCTGAATGTCCTGTATGTTTTTAGATACACACCACATAATCAACATTCACACACATTATTTTCTTCATGTTTTGACTACTGCCCTGGTCAGCTGCAAAGCTGGCATATCAGGTGACGCCACGGTTTGACGTTGCCTGCGTAGAATGGGCTAGCCCAACCAACCAGATAAAATGTATAGGCTATTAGGGTTCAGGGTCTTTTCATCTTCCGGGCTGCCTGCGCGCAGTTTTGGGGGTGGAAGATGCCTGGACGTGTAATGTTAATTCTTGCCTGTGACCCTTTGAATAAACCAGCACGGTTATATTTTTTTATACACTCAAGTGGTCCGCTTCGTCTCACTGAGTTCCTGGTTTGAAAGAACCGGACGTGGCTTTATAATAGAATAGAGCCTTTAGTTTGATTCAGTGAATCTAGAGTGATTTCCAAGATGGCGCCAGTGTGTACGGCCTGCTGTCTACCGCTCCTAATTTTGTTTGTTTTTGTGTTGTATTGTTCATTTTTTTTATCCGGAATGGGGTCTCTCTTTTGTTGTATGACCGTCAAACTCTGCTGAATCTGCGATTGGATGTTTCAAACTTTGTGCAGTTTGATTGTCCCAGGCACAAGTCCCTACCTCCATTTTTATCAGGAATACCCGCTTACCTTCGCCGCGTTCCGGCTCTCCCATTCAGGAGGAGGAGGAGGCAGAGACGTCGGGGCAGGCGAGGTGGACAGCTGGTAAGGCTAAAGGCCTCCTTGGCGAGTTTTTCCTCGACTTCTTTGATTCAGTGTGCTTCGACTGCCAGCCTCTGGGCTTTGCAGCGTTCTCTGGATTCTGTCCGCTCATTGCTGGTGTCGGTGGTTGGCTCGGATTGGGGGACTGGGTGGCCTCGTAGCTGTTATCCACGTCTATACCGACGTGGGATTAACCGCTCGAAGAAATACATACACAAGCTCACTTCAACCCTTGTATATATTACATAAAGGAGCCATACGAATTGTGCATATGATGTGGTACAGGGATCACACCAATGGAGCTTTCATACGGTCTACATTGTTAAAATGTTTTAATTTAGTGGGATATAAGACTGCTGTGTTTATGTATAAAGCCAGGAACAATTTATTACCTGGTGGAATTCAAAAAATATTTATTGAAAGGAAAGTGAGGGGGAATAGCAACTGTTTATAAAAATACTTAAATGCAAGCAGATTTCATCATTACCTTCCTTCTCCAGCTTTGAGTTGTCCTTATTTGAGCTGGGTCATTCTCCGGCCTTATTGTGGGCTGTGATTTATTGCCCACCTAAGTTCAATAAGGATTTTATATGTGACTTTTCTGAATTCTTGGTCAATTTTATGCCCAGATATGACCAGGTTTTAATTATTGGGGATTTTAATATTCATGTTTGCTGTATGGACAAAACTTTAGTTAAGGCTTTTTTAGATCTTATTGACTCTTTTAATCTTACACAATTTGTGGCTGGTCCCACCCATGAGCACACCTTGGATCTTGTCCTATCTTATGGTGTGCCAGTTCGTGAATTTATGGTGTGCCAGTTTGTGAATTAGACATTTGTGATGCTGTGTTTGCAGATAATTTGCCTGTGTTATTTGAAATTGATTTTATTTGTGATACAATTGCACCTTGTGCTATTCCACGGCTTTGCCATACGTTTAATTCTTCCACTTCTATTCAGTTCTCTGCTTTCTTTAGTGAAAATCTTGTAATATCTGACTCTGCAGACACAGAGGAGCTTGCACTAGATTTCCACTTTACTTGTCAGGCTGCTATTGATGCAGTGGCACCATTGGAGGTTAGGGAGCCTAGGGCTAAGTTTGAGCCCTGGTTAAATGAAGTGTCCTGTGCCAGAGTGTCGCAGGGCTGAGCGCAGGTGGAGAAAGAATAAATTAAGGTATCACTTCAGATACTAAGAGACTCTTGGCATCGTTATCAAACAGTTGTGAAAAATCTTGAGAAATTATTTCTCTAACATCATTCAGTCGAACTGTCATAAGCCTTGTGTTCTGTTTTAAGGTTACTGATTCTGTTCTGAATGTTCCTCAGGTTGCCTGTGTTGAGTCCTCCTCTGCCCTTTGTCAAAAATGTTTACATTTCTTCAATGACAAGGTTCTTTCTACTAGAGCTCAAATTCTAGCTCCTGTTTATGATTTTCCTGTTTCTCGCTCCTGCCTTGCTATTTTTGATCACTTTGAGTGTGTGTCTCTGTCCAGTTGCCAGGAGATTGTTGGGTGTTTGAATCCCTCTGGCTGTCCAAGTGATACTATTCCTCCTCAACTTTTAAAGGAGGTTTTTCCGGTTGCGGGGCCATTTGTCCTTTCTGTTATTAATAGTAGCTTATCCTTTGGGCTGGTCCCAAGGAATTTTAAACACACGGTGGTGCAGCCATTGATTAAGAAACCTGGTCTGGATCTTAACAGTGCTTGCTAATTTTTGGCCTATTTCTAATCTGCCATTTCTTTCCAAGGTTCTAGAGAGGATAGTTTACACTCGGTACTGTCTTTTTTTGGAAAGGCATAATATTCTTGAGCTCTTTCAGTCAGGGTTTAAAACCCTGCACAGTACTGAATCTGCTCTGATGAAAGTTTTAAATGATATTTTTCTTGCCACCGACTCAGGGAACTGTGTCGTCCTAGTGCTCCTTGATTTAACCGCTGCTTTTGATGCAGTAGATCACAACATACTTATTTCTTGTTTAGAGCACTGGGTGGGTATTCAAGGCATAGCTCTAGAATGGTTTTGGTCTTACCTTAAGGATCGAACCTTCTGTGTGAAGCTTGGTGATGCTATGTCTTCCTCTGAGCCCCTTTTGTATGGGATTCCACAAGGCTCAGTCCTTGGACCCCTTCTTTTTTCCCTCTACCTTCTCCCACTTGGCTCTATACTTAGGAAACACGGTATTTCCTTTCATTGCTACGCAGATGATAGCTAGCTCTATTTACCAGTCACAAAGACAAATTCTTGTGTTAGGCCACTGCTTGAATGTTTTGAGGATATTAAATCTTGGCTTGCTCTTAATTTTTTGAAGCTGAATGAAGAGAAGACTGAGGTGATGGTGTTTGGTGATACTGTTGGGTCTCCCTCCATTGACCTGGGCTTTTTAACTCAATATAACAAGAAAAATATTTCAAACCTGGGGGTTAAGATGGACCCCGGTCTAAAATTCGATTGCCAAATTGCAGCTGTTGTAAAATCTAGTTTGTTTGTTTTTTTTTCCAGTTAAGGGAGTTGGCCACATTTAAAATGAATGATCTCCAGATGGCTCTTTGAGACACTGATTCATGCTTTTATCACCACCCGACTGGATTACTGCAATGCACTGTATCTGGGGATTAGCGAGTCTTCTATTGCTCGCCTCCAGATGGTCCAAAATGCTGCAGCACGTCTTTTAACAGGCACACATTAATATGAACACATTTCTCCAGTCTTGGCTTCCTTGCACTGCTTACCTGTCCATTTTAGGATCCACTACAAAATTTTATTATTTGCTTTTAAATCCCTCCATGGCCTCGCACCTCCCTATTTATCTGACTTGCTTCACTGGCATACACCTACGCATTCCCTGAGATCTACCAATCAGTTTCTTTTGAGTGTGCCCA